TATGCAGTTCAGTTTATTTATTTTTTAGAATTTTGGGTTGGCGGACACCTAACCACTGAAGGAAGCATAGAAAATTATTGGCTTTCAAGGGATTTTGACTAGTGAGCTGCACTAATCTGTTTTTTCATGGAGGGCGTTTTAGCAAAAGAATATATATTATTCACGGGTTTTTAGCATTATTGTTGAGGTTACCGCTTTGATTAGTTCTTAATTATCAGGTATCAAGCTTTGGGTGGCATGGATTACAAAGGTTTTTATTTTAGAAAGAAGCATACTGTGTGCATTGAAGTGAGCAATGTATTGAATGAGTTTTTATTGCTACTTCAAAATTTTTAAAATTTTAGTTTAAAATGGTTTTTTTTAGTTCAAAGATTGCGGAAAACGATGTTCGTGGTATTTTTGACTTCATCTGCCTTGGTTGTTTGGCTTTTAAGTAGGCCGGAATCGTTTCCTCTGTATGACACAACAGGTACCGTAGGAATGGATGAACTCTTGAATATTTACCTTTCTTCTGGCGAGGTATGCTTTAAAAGATTGTTCTATTTTTTTGGAGTACAACCTACTTTGAATTCACTGTTTTGGCGAGGCATTACGAGCAAAGGCTGTCAACTCAAACGTGACCTTTGATTTGACATGTTACTTTTAGGTTAAAAAGTTGCTTTATGTTCCTGGCCAAAATAAAGCCATTGCTCTTTTACATTCTGGAGCCATAATTGAGGGGAAACCTGTAAGCAGTTTAGAGTTTATTCTTCTTACTATTAAAATCTTTTAAACGATAGATTTTTTCAGCTATCTATTATTTTACAAGTTCCCAATTTCATGACAGTAACAGAAAAAAAAAAAGATGACTTATTTATTAGTGCGCTTTTGGATATAAAAATCGACAAACTCCCAAAGTGCAGTAACACGTCTTTGTATAGCGCTCTTCAACTTTTTTGTCCTGTAACTTCTGCTTACTTGAAAGCAACGCTGCACACTGTTAACTTACCACTCGTGTTGTTAAAGATTCACAGGACTTTCATCGTTGTTGAGGGCAGACCGGGTGAAACGCTGCAGAGCTTTACTGAAGAAATACGTAGTAGAGAGGCAGCATTGGGAATCCCGCCAGTGAGGGGCATAACAATTGATGAGCAGAGATCCTTAAGTACCACAGGGTATATTTATTTATCTTTTATAGTGTCTCTATTATGCTATTCTGAAGACTGGTTGAAAACGTGACAGTTACAGCTACTTGATTATGCTGCCGTTCATGATCCTTGTGGGATATCTGAGTGCACGACTTACACAAAACATTCTCAGACGCACTTTACAGCGTAAGGGCCCAGGTGGAATAAACAAAAAATAGTTTGTGGCTAGCGGTTGCTATATCATTCGATAAATTTACGATTTTTTCAAATCTTTTACTTTCTGACAGGTTCTTCAAATTACGGTTTCAAAATTAGGGTATATTGCGTGTAGTATTTTAAAAAACTGTTATTAATATTTATATTCCTTTTCACTCCAATTTTAGGTGATAATTAGCCACTTCTTTCACAGTTTTTAAAGTTATGACACTATTCTTTATTGTCATCTCTACTTATGCTTCTGAGGTACACTCACGCTCTTCTAGGTAATTTTGAGGTTATTATCGTTATAAGCGGTTATTGTTGGTACGTTTTTGTTTTACCTTTGTTTGAATAATAGGATGTGGTACGAAAGTAACATTATTCCTAAAGATTTTGATAAAACTATTACTTTTTACTTTTGTGGTTTCATAAAAATGATTTAGTCATTCTTTGTTCCAAGTGTACGTGTCTTCTTTTGGTAATTCATGACCACATACAAGTAAACATTTTGTGAAATTTCTTGGTGGTGATTCAAGAAATCTCTGAAAAGGGGAATGTATTGTTTATAAAAATTGTTTCATGCTTTGTGTGCTTCTAACTTGTTGAGGAAGGAAGACTGTGGTCGAGCGACGGTGTGGAGGTGCTGCTAAATAACTGGGATTTTCTGGTCATCGAAGTTAAAGATAGATGGTAAAAG